ATGAAACAACGAAAATGAGTAATAATGTAATAATAGCATAATTAACTGACATCATGTAATTAATTGACATTATGTAAGTTAACATGTTGTTCGGTGTGGCAGCGCCAAGTTGTTTTTGTATTTTTAATAATATTTGTTATTTAATTAAATTTTTTTAAATCAAATTTTGATCAGTTTTATTTATTCATTTTATGAATATTTTATGTATGTTTATTTTGAATTTGCACCTTGAATAACATATCAGTTACTTTTCATGTTGGTAATATATTAAAAATTTAGATAATTATTAAAATATAAACATATTGGAATGTCTTTTTTGGAACTTGGCCAGACCTTATCATTTATGAATTTTTGTGCTATCTTCATGTGTTAAAGATGTGTTTTGGCTTGCTTGTCCGATCTCTTCCTGTACATGCGAGACATTAGTCTCCGGGTCTACAGTTATTTCTTCCAAGTCAGTGGTAACAGTAGGCAGATTTGCATCATTGGTATCTGTGGTAAATTTTAGCCTAATCAATAAAATTTATTCTTAGTTAGTTTAGGCTAAATTTGTCCAATCAATGCATTGTACATATTGTCTATATTTTATTAATAGCAGATTCAATTTTTTTTAATGCTGTCCTCAAAAGCGATGAGTATAAAAAAGTTATCAGGAAATTTAAAAAAATAACGAAATAAAGAATATCAATGAACAACAGGTAAAATAGTTCTTAAAAGAATCTTTCTGAAAATTCGTGCGAAGATTGTAATCAAAAATGTTTGAATAAAATACCAATTGGAAGAAGAAAGGAGATTTTTAAAGGCTACTATGAAGTAAATTGGTTTTTTAATTCTTTTTCTTACACATGCAAAAAAAAGCTAAAACTCTTTACTATTGCAATATATTTGCAATTATTGTTAAAAATTAATTTAAATATTTATTACAAAATTTTGCCTAACTGTCTGTATTTCTTACAGATTTTGAAAAATTCTAAGAGACAAACTTGCCTAACCCACACATAATTTTTATTATACGCGAAAAAACTATTAAAACAAAAAATTTATTGATAAAATTATAAGTATTACAAAAAATAACATACCTAAAGAATCCAAATTATCATAATCAAATTGATAATCTTTGTCAACATCTCTGCAATCTTCAAGAATACAACGAACGGTTTCAAACTCTGACTGTTTATTTGCCATGTTTATTAAACAAATTTTGTTGCGTAGGCAACTATGGCTCACAATACTTACCTGTTACATCTAATTGCCTAACCGATGTAACGATGCAGCCCGCTGCATCGTTACGGCTACGGACCGTCCATCGTCCGTAGCCCACCAAGGGCGCATCGCGCGCCGATAAATTTCCTATCAAAAACAACGGCGGTCAACCGCCGAAAATCCCCCACACCCGACCGTTCCGAAATTCCGTATTGTGGGGGACTCGCCGCCGAAACCGCCGATGCTTGCCGATTCGAAATCATTCGGCCGCCAGCCGGGTATAAAAGAGGCCCGGCTGAACGTCTTCTCACCAGACTCCGTTCGCTGATCGACAGCGAACAACCCTGCTACGAGCGTCCTCGTAGTCCCGACCGAGCATACTCGGACTCTATACCTGTGCCAGCACACGAGTATCCTCGTGTACCGCCGAGCGTCCTCGGTATTCTTTGATTCCAGGATACGAATATATTCGTATACCCGCCAAGCGTACTTGGTTCCTCTAGGCCACCGAACTCTGTATTGCGGGCATTTCCGCATACCTAGCCAGGTCGCTATTCTAAATTCCGTCTTCGTACGAGCATCCTCGTACTCCCGCCGAACGTAATCGGCAGCCTAAGTCCGCACACCGCGTTTATTCGCCGGGATTTCATAACGGTAATCCGTCCGGCAAGCAACACCGCGTCGACCAATCCGCGCCGCCGAATAGTCCGCATCGATCTACGATCGAACAGACTCGCGATACTACGAACGCACTCACCGACGAGCGCTCCGTCTTGTACCAACCGTTGCGACACGATCGCCCGCGCTTGCGCTCTCGCCGACCGCACCAGGACGCCTCACGTCATACTAAATAATTATTCCACCGTCGCCCCAAATAATTATTTCTTTATTACGATACTTCGCATTGATTTTCACGTATACTTC